TAGCAGGTTATTTTCTCGCATTTGCCGTCGGCGGCTTTTACTTCTAAATTCAGTTTTGGATCATAAAAGGCTTCCAGGTATCATTTAGACGATATAAAATTTCCCTTACAATAAAATCATATTCTGTGGGCGCTGGGCTGTCACATAGCCAAACATTGACTTTTCCTATGACGTCTTCTTTTTTGACTATAAAGGGGAAATCTTCAACCAACCATAATGTTTTGTTCTGAGTTTTTTACATTTGCCACATAACTTGAATATTTTCTGGTGCGCGTAAAACATTATCAATTATGACATCCGATCTTGAGAGCAGATAAAGAGTTACTGATGGTGAAAATGTTAAGCATAATATTGAGAGTCATAAGCTTAAGCTTAAATAGAGAAATTAAAGCGTAATATTGACGAACTTAAAAAAGAAATTAAAGTATAAAAAAAACCCCCTAAGGAAATTTTTGACAAGAAACTATTATCGAATATTATCCTCACTTCTTGAATGGTTTAAAACTTGGTGCCTCGTTCAAAATAAGGCTTCATAGTACCAGCTGATATAAAGGAGTTTGTTGTCCAGCATCCAAAAATTTTTGATATCTTGGACTTCTATCAATCGCGATTTATGAAAACTATGATCAGCGTAATAAACAATTTAAACCAGGCACAGTTTGTTTACACAAATCTAACTAATTTTGGATTAGCCGATTATCGAAATACAGTTTGACGATGTAAATTTCTCTGCATTATTCTCTATGTACAGTATTAGTATATTCAAAATTATATTTCTGATATACATAGGTGTAAGCTAGCTATAATGGGCTATTGTAGGGAAATTTGCTAATGAAATAGTTAACAGTACACCGTTCAGCATAATAGTAATATTTTGAAATTCTATTGAGCCCGCTGCTTATTACAATTGTGATATATATTTGTAATACGCTGCATATAACGACTACTGTATATAACGACCAATTCCAATTTGCCTCGCCCGAGGCGATTTTTATAAATAGAGTTAACCGTATTATGATCTCGATAGGAAAATGTTTTCTTCTTAGTACGCGTTTTTTAAGACGTTATTTGTTAATCGTTAAAGTTATATTCTTGTTCGGATCTGGAAAACGCCTCGCGTAATTCGGCAAACTTTTCTCTTGGAATCCTTTTTGATCAGCCACAATTACAAACTATTTCCAAAAAATGTATGGTTTTTTCATATTCAGTGAAATTTGTTAAAATTTATATATATATAGGTAATTATATATATATTTTTTTTACGAGTAACTTATAAGTCGAGACATATACGAGCTTAACTATTTTTCCTGTGGTTATTTAATATTTAAGTCCAAATAAATTGAAATCTGGGTGTTATACAGTCATACCTCTTTTAAATCCCCAACCTCGGATATATCCCACCTGTGAAGCGAGACGGATTTCCTCTATTGTATTTCTATATAAATTTACCTCATTAGTGTCCCCTTTAGATATATCCCTATCCCCGATATTTTTGCTGTCCCAAATTCCCATATCATATAATAATCTATTATTATCATACCTCCTATTCCTACTGTATTTACTATTTACTGTTGCACAAATCTATCTATTATGAGAGTATTACTATTACACAAACTGTCATTTTTACGACTTTTCCGTTGTTAAAATGATTAGCAAAAAATCAAATCGTGCTGAAAAGTGATCAGGTCATCTGAAGGCGTTCTGCAGCAATACGTTGAAAAAGACTCAAGCGACGAGGAGAAAACGATAATTTCGATGTGGAGGGGAAGACAGGCACTTGATATAGTTAAAAGGTTTTTAGGGCAAAAAGATTTTATAACAGAAAACTAGATAACTCGCCTATTGAACCCTGTTCTACTTTTTGATTGTATGGAATTTTCATTATTGTGGAACAGCTCTTAAGAGTGTCTTTCCAGGCATGAGCTCCGCTCCCAGAAGTAATGGTACCTTGTACTTGATCGATAGGGCTTGATTCTAATTGGGTAGTTTCGTAGGATGGTTCCGATAAAGTATTGTCCAAAGATAAGTTTTAATCCCGAAGTTTCGTTTCTCTAATTCTCTCCATTTAATAATGAATATGGCTAAGATTATAACTTTTATAATTGGCTTGGAGAAAATCTTCGCTATAAACAGATCTTCATAATAACCAGAGTTCGTTATAGCCAGCTTTGACTGTATACCACAGGTCGTAGAAACATGGCATATAGTTGTATTATGAGGACAAGTAATGGTTTTGTAAAGTGGAAGAGGTGTATTGACTGATGGTACCAGCTTCTCTAATGTCACAAAAAGACAAACCATATTAAAAGCTGCAATAAGAACCTGGTATATTAATATTACAGTTAATGCATTAGTAAATTTAAGTTCATTATTAAAAAAATGGTTGCTATGTAATTGTGTAACTTACCAAAACTTGTTGAAGCAGAAAAGAAATATTATATATATATTGAGAAGATACAGGATGTGCTATTAGATCCCTTCTAATAATAGACAACAGCAAAGCTGAACAAAAAAAACAATAAGACCCATACCATTATTCCATCTTGTCCTGATTTGTGTGTTGGAATACATTAAACTTTTCTGTTAATTGTCACCACACCAGTCTTCTGCCATCCCCGTTAAATAAACGAAAATATGATTGTCACTCCATATAATTTTTTCCCTTTTCTTTTTCTCTGAAACCATTGAAATAGTTCCTTTTCAGCAGCATAACAGGGCAAGTAAGGTAATACCAAAAAAAGATGGGTCCCGTTTTTCCATCTTTGAATTCTAGTTTTTTTACTATTACTATTATAGCATTGTCAAACTTCTCAGAATTCTTCTTTTCTTCTTATTCTGCTTTGAATATCAATACATCATGCAGTAATAGTAAGCATTTTTTTTGTCTTGCACCGGATATATCCACAACATTGCAATCAACTTGTAACCCAAACTGGAGACTTCAGCCAAGGCTTTGCCATATTTGTTTAACTAAAGCATCATACTCACTAATCAAGTTATTCACACTACCTGCTATTGTAAGTATCAGTGCGGCTTCACATAGTAATAGAGAGGAAACGGTATCTCCAGTTTGACCAACATCCTTATCAATAAATATAAAGTAGTCTCCAAGATTTAATAGTGCTAATTCTGGTGACCCATCCATGTCATGATACAGTTTGTGCCATATAGAAATCTTTTGAAGAAAAGATACACTTCAAGCTCATTCTCATTTGGTGGATTAGTAAGTGGTTTAGAAACTGAGCATTAAATAACTGTTCAATTAATGTTTTCGATTTCCCTATAGTATAAGAACAAAAAGGTGAGCATTTGGAACGAGAAAAACAAATTAAAGTCTTTAAACATTAATAACCATGTACACACTACTCTATGTCACCAACCTCTCCAGCAGAATATTTTCCTTTTTTTGTAGTTCCGGGAGGTAAGCATATGGATAGGTCAGAGCTGCCCGCCCTGAGTTATCTGCTGGAAGGCTGTCAATTTCCTGTATCTTCCTCTTGGTCTCTCTAATTTTTGTCGCACGGATTCGAGTTCGTCGCTCATCTTTTCTACTAATCAATGACGTATAGTAGTATTAGGAACTTTCTAGGCCTTTTCATGTAACTATTGTTTCCCTGTTACTGTATGCAGATGACACATGTTGATTACGCTTTAGTTCGAATATCGTGACTCAAAAAAGGTTTGCTGCAGTGAACAAATATTATGAAAATTCACAAAGAATGCAGAAGTAAAAAGACAGTAAAAAATTGCAGAGCCAATCAAATTTCAAGAATTTTCCCGCAGATTATTCTTTTCTATATTTGGTATAATGCCCGACTGTATTACTATCGCTATAAAAGCTTCGCGAACCGCTTTCAGACTTCATCATTTTAAAATGTTTGCTCTCACCCAGTGAATTAATTCTCGTATTAATCATGTTACAGTTTCATCACATTCTGGTATGATAAAGTGAGCATTAAAATTAACAGTCCATGAACACCATTATTACTTTTCAAAACGTCATCAGTCACACTGATCAATTTACAGCCACACCCCTCATTTATAGAATGTTCACTTTGTCTGGTTTGGTTGCAATCTGCCCTATATTAATATTATTTAGTTCCTAATACTATCACAAACATATATTTCACTCGTGCTGTTTCCAACGGATATATAAACAAATTCTATTATTGTTGAATTGAGGGAAATTTTAAGCTAGCACTCAATTTGCCTGTTTAACTAACTAAATCCTATCGCTCGTTTAGTTTTTACGAATGTTATTCAGAAGAGGCGAAAATAAATCTGCGAAATATAAATCTGCATGTTTGGAGTCAAAGAACGCTGACATTGACATTTGAACCAGTGAAAGAGTACCAATGGTACTACCACTTAGGAAGTGCGCGAGTCACTATTTAATGCAGGTTGGAAAGACTTCTGATGGCTGAAAGAGGACACTACACCATGCAGTCGCTATGTGTTACCAGTTGTAATTACTGATATAGTTACGTTCGTTAACATTCATTTCTATTTAGGGATGTAATATTTTAGCAGTACTACACGACGCATATGACAAATAATATTAAGATCGAGAAATCCCCGGTAACCCGTTACCTTTACATAAAAAAAATTCTCAACAAAATTTCGACTCTTTTACCTTCCGCAACTTGTTTGTGGTCACGGTTTTTCCACACTCGAAAAGACATACGTATAATACTCGTACTTGTCAGTCGGTAGCCATGGACATAGTTCTCGCATATGCAGACGAATACGTTTTTGACGATCTATACGCGCACTTATTTCCTCGCTTTGTTGACGTCTCTCATCCCTATTTTCCTTCTCTTCCAACAATTTCCTTCCTTTCACGTGATAACATTTATCGTCAGTACACGACTCTCTTTATTATAACCATTGCTTTTATTACAAGTTTCTACTTTCTGTTATCCGGCGTCTCGTATTACTGGGTATTTGACCATGACTTGATGAAACATCCGAAATTTCTCAAGAACCAAATACGTAAAGAGATGTCCCTGTCTGTCAGTGGATTTCCTATTACTACTGCAGTCACCATACCCTGGTTTGTTGGAGAAGTGAGAGGGTATTCTTTGTTATATGATGACGTGGAAAAGTATGGATGGTGGTATTTGATAGCAAGCGTGCCGATGTTCTTGCTCTTTACCGATTTTTGTATTTACTGGATTCACCGATGGTTGCATCATCCATTGATTTACAAGCATTTGCACAAGGTAAGCATAATCGGGTGAAGGGTGTGGGTGAAGAACAGAAGACGAAAAAAGATAAAGTAGGCTGTGGTCAAAAAAAAATCATTATACACTCTGTTTTTAATTATGTTTGTTTTGTCTCATTTCAACAGCCACATCATAGATGGATCGGTAAACATGATACATGAATTGCTTGCTCTGTTCTATTATTTTCCAAAAAAGATCCCATTCATAACCCTTCTCTTTTGTTGACAATGTTAGTCCCAACCCCATTCTCATCCCATGCATTTCACCCACTCGATGGATACCTCCAGTCTGTTCCGTATCATCTCTTTGTGTTTTTATTTCCACTCCAGAAATATATGTATCTCGGGCTGTTTGTGTTTGTTAACATTTGGACTATCCTAATACACGATGGTAATTTCTTGTTACTTACCGAAACCCATTCTTTTTAATCATCAAGCCCTCACGTACAATTCCCTGTATATTGTAGGCGCCTACTTGACATCGAACCCACTAATAAACGGGGCGGCTCATCATACTTTACACCATCTCTACTTTAATTACAACTATGGACAATATTTCACATTATGGGATAGAGTTGGCGGTACTCACAGACTTCCAGGAGACGAACAGTATAAACTGAAGAAAAATAATATGATCTGGGAGAAGCAAGCGCGAGAGGTAGATGCATTTGATGAGAACGGCAAGGAAAAGGTCAAAACCAATTAGACGTGGACGAATCTGGACGATGGAGTCGTAAATTATCAGAAACACGCTTAGAAATAGTAAATGTAATTTTAGATCTATTTATTTTGAAAAGTAAGAAACATTTAGCATACAAGATTGAGGTGGAGCGTCCGATATCGAATGCACGAACCACTGCAACTAATATGTCATTTTTAATGATACCTGTTCCTCAGTCCCAAGAACTTTGTAATAACAACTTCAGCGTTTTGAATTAATACGATAACTTGAGTTGCGGATCTGTCGATAAATGCAGGGATTTTATTACCTCGACAATGCTATCTAGAGCTTGTGGATTGGTAAAGGAATGTGTTTGTATGATACAGAGAAATTCAGGTGAGATGATGAAAATTTGCTTAACGTCATTTCATCCTGGTTAACAATGACACAAGCCAAGGGCCTGTATTGGTACCACCAATACTCGGACATTCTTCTTGTGAGGGTTTTAAGAATTCGTCTGCCAAGTAGCATGAGCAGAAATAGACCAACCGAAATTAGTAGGCACAGCCTCACGAGAATCCAAGTCGTTACGTCCGTAATTAGGTGTGTAATAGATAATTGTCGGTCATGCCTAATGAATGTGAATACTCGGTTCACATTCTTTATAACCCGCAAATCATCATTGCAGTAGGCCGTGGACCTGAATATGTTTGTTGGAATTCAGCATTAAGATGATGGGACATGGATCAAATTCAAACTATTAACACGAACCACCGAGTCCCCCAAGGAGGTGGATCATAGTCAGTCGATCACTAGTACTTATTACCCCATTAATTGTCTATAAAACGTCTATTAGCTTTACGATTGAAACTCACGCGCGAGGGGCTGATTGAATATAAGACTTCTCAGCAGACCAATCGTAGCTATCGACTTTTCTAAATAAAATAGTTCTTCCGATATCCGGATTGTATTGATTGTAACTCTAACACCATGTCATATAATATATTATCCTGTCTTTTTTTGTAAGCTCCCTAACGGCAGGGCTACCGCTTGGAAACCTACTGGACTGCCTGTAAATGTAGCTACGCCTTAATTGACAGACATGTAACAGAGCCAAGTTTGGAAGCTAAATTTGAAAACTATCCCCCAGGCCAATTTGGACACCAAATGTTTCCAGGCGACCGAATGTGTCATCACATTTCCCTTAATGAACTTTTTTATTAAACGACCTCTGATGATTAACGTGCTTTGCCACGTCCACGAACTCCACGTCCACGTCCTCTGCCTCGCCCGCGACCAACACCAGCAGCTTGAAAATTCAGAAAGCAAATGATAATGAGTCCAATTGCTTATATGTCTCCATAGTATCACCAACCCACAATAACCGCCACCAACTGCACCCGTATTTGCACTTATCCTGTTTGCTATCATAGGAAACATCATGTTCCTTCCCCACCCACTTACGTTCTTTCTTTTTAGCCTTGGCTTTTGGTGTGTCATCAATCAACAAGGTGTCCAGCGGGAGTGAATCAGGTAAGATATAATATCTGATATTATTACCACGGATACTGAGTGAATCCAAGTGGACTGGATCTTTGTTTTTCACTGTCATTTTTACGAGTTTAAGATGTGTGTTCATTGACATATCTACGCCTAATACCGATTGATTTGCCGAGCGGGATGGTAGAATAGGAGAAAACAAAGATGATGACGCATTGTGAAGAGACGAGTTGGTTAGATCACTGTTGGAATGCTATACGTTGCGAAACTGTTTAAACTTGTCGACTATTAAACATCCGAAAAGACAGTCTCATTTTGATCAGTAATGGTTATCAAACCTGTGATAGTTCCGTGGACTATAGTCCCATTTTTGAGCTCTATGGTTACCGTTTCACTATTTAATTTCATTAAAAATCTGTATACATTACAGCATACAATGAGCAATTAGAACACGAATAGACAAAGCAACTACACGAGATCGCGCCGCAGAACTGGGAAATTGTTTTTGTTCTCTCACACTCGGGATATGCTTACTTGCCTTACTAATTTCATTTTGAATGGTTTAGTCTTTATTAGGGGAGTTGGACTCTTAACGTCGTGCTTCTATGCGACTATAGTCTAGGATGTAGAAGAACAAAACTATTTTGCAAGTAAAATTTCAGAAGCGATCCGTTTACTATTGGCGCACAATGTTACTGTGGTACAGGCTCGATGAATTAATTGGCTGTCCCACTGCAGTTTGAAGTCAGGCGAATTTATTAATATTCAATTCATTGACTAATCTAAAGATTGGATTCTGTATGTGAAAGGTATGCCTAAATCATTACGAGTAGACAAGTATTGTATTCTATGGATGATTGTTCAAAGTCCATCAAGCAAGACGAGCAGAAATACAAAATAATTAGAGCGTTCTATTCTTAACTGATAAGATCGGACGTGATTTTTACAATATTATTATAATTTTAACAAATAACTAGGGTATTTCCGGACAATCAAATTTTACGAACGGGGAAGATGGTTAAATAATTAAAGACGGATCCGGTCGCGTAGTTTCACTGTTCTACGCGCTTTTATTGACATAAAGTTAGGTTATGATCGTGATATTCTATGATCGAAGAAAGAGCATTCTTAGTGAGCGACCAATTAGTCAAGAGATAGAACAAATGAGTTTCACGCAAAGCACATACTTTCTCCTCTTCCCTCGGGGATTTTCAAGTTCCTTTACTCGTGCCGCCTCTCGGTTTTTGTCGGCATATTTATATTCTGCCATCTGTGGTAATAGTCATCAGTATTAAGATAACCTGAATGAGGAATTACAAGCATTAACCAACCTCTATTGGAACTTTGTCGAACTCAATATTGCGACCTTTCAGTTCAGGCATCTTTGGCAACTGGAATAGTTGTTAGAATACGGATAACATAATATACGACCGTAATTGCTGAAACCACCAAAAGCACAAATATACCTGTAACAATGCAAAACCCTTGGCAATTTTGCCCATATCAAGATCCTTCATCCTAAATATATAATTTGCTTCATGCTTGGAGTACGCCCTCACATACGAGACAAAAGCCCTTGTGCCCTTAAATCGTTGAGAAAACAATTAACCGTTAATGTATCAATTTAAATACAAGAATCTTGATATACCCGTTATTTATCATTTACCTTATCGTGATAGTCTCTGTCGGACAATATTATGTTCCTAATTTGTTCAATTAGTCTTTCGTTGTCTGCATCTTCTTTGGGAACTGCATCATCCGAATCCTCATCCAATTTATACACACCACCATTGGGCAACAGGTATGGTTGTCTCTGGAGAGGAATTTTGCGAATTTTCAAAAATTCTGCCGATGCATGTGCGAAAATTTTATTCGTTTCCTCGCGCATCACATATTGCGGTGTCATTATACCAACAAATTTGTACTTACCTACATACACCTCTTCCCTTCCTGTTGTTAGAAAAACCATCGCTTTTCCACCTCTACCTGCCCTTGCTGTCCGGCCACAACGGTGAGAGAAAACTTTAGGGTCCTGTGGAGGATCGTATTGTATTACAAAATCGACATCAGGAACATCAAGTCCCCGTGCAGCCACGTCTGTACATAATAAAATGGCCTTTGAGGTGGGCGGAAGATTTACGAATGTGTTGTAATTGGCTAGGGAAAAAAAGTGAGTTATCAACGAAATGAATCAACAAAGTGGTAGGCAAGACAGAATATGTAATGATATTGGGTTTACCAATCCGCTTTTTACTCTTCATCTGTCCATGTAACGAATTTATCTTGAAATTTTTTAGCTGAGGCAAGTCTTTAAATAGCTGAGCAAACTCAAAAATTTTAATAATCAATTTATTAACACATCATTGCAATAAACACTCGTGTATTACCTTGAAGAAATAGTCAACACATGCACATGTGGCAAAATATATTATAAACTTTGTCACAGTTTCCCTCTCCAATAATCGCAACAACTGAGACAGTTTTTGATGGGGTTCGCACAAGATGTATCCGATGGATAACCTTTTACGAAAGAAATGTATTGGTCAATGATTGGAAATCAACGCAATATATGACTTTAGATAAGAAAACACATACGTAATCGGCGTCCGCCGCTCGCCTTTTGAAGCATTGCTTTCTACTTTAGCCTGAAGATGTACAGGATTTCTTAAACCAGCTCTCACAATTTCCGTCAACGCATCAGTCATTGTCGCAGAAAACAAACCCGTGCGCCTTTGTTTTGGAAGATGAGCCAGAATATTACTCAGGGATTGAGTAAATCCCATGTCCAACAGTCTATCGGCCTCATCCAAGACCAACACTTCCATCTCTTTCGCGTTTATTATCCCGCTTGAGGATCCGCGCCCAACCACAAGATCTTCCAGGCGTCCAGGGGTTCCGACAATAATGTCTGGTCGCAACTCTTTGTATCGTTTAATGTCATCTTGCAGAGCCGATGCGCCACCAATAAATAAAGCGTGTTTTAGGGCAATCGCGCCGTCTTTTAAAAAGAGATCGATAACAGATGATATTTGTTGTGCAAGTTCTCTAGTAATGATGTAATAACGTCAGCCGAATGAAACATCGATGTGCAATGCTTCCTAACAAATGTTATCAAATAACCTTGTAGGAGAGATAATCAGAGCTCCAATTGAGTGTTTTTGTGGTGTTTCACGACGCATCAACTTTTCGATAATAGGAATAACAAACGCTAAAGTCTTCCCGGAACCGGTAACAGCCTAAATGCACAAAGAACATGAAAGAATGATCGCTTTATACAGAAACTTTTATGTATCAATTTTTTTTTTACCTCAACAACGACATCTTTGTTTTGCATAAATAAAGGAATTACTCCAGCCTGAACAGGAGTCATGCATTCGAACCCCATTACGTCTATAACGTCCAAACTGTTGCCTGTTAGCATAGACTGAATACATTACTTGAGGCCGCTGAGCTACGATGGAAACTATCAGATACGAACACTTGTGGGCTGAGCTTAGGTTCTAACGTATTCCACGAGCTTGCCATTATTTTTTGCGAGGTTAGAAATTAAAAATTTAATTACAATGCAGGGAAATTTTGTGCCGATCATCTATATAGTCAATCATAGCATGCAGTACCATAAAATCTATTCTTTACTTATGTAAATAAATGGGCACGAAAGATCGTGGAGGCATTGTGCGTCTGATGAATGACAATAATGTAAAGGAAATATTGTTAAGGCGATCAACGATCTGAGGTCGAGAAACAAACCAATTTACACGAGCTTCCCCCGACGCTTCACCAGTTCTGAGTTGATGTATCCAACGAGTAGAGATAGGCCGTTGGTATTGTTTATTGTCCCAGTATAAATTTCGAATTGTATCTGATTTCATATTTATGGGATTAGCACCCGTCGCCCGTTTTTGTATCCATCGTGAAAATGATATGCTACATTCAAAAGGTTCGTGGTCGAAAATTAAATGCAGCAACAGCGCCCGTGACATATACATTCCTTAGCACGTCTTTAAAACAGCGTTTGCACCCCATACGTAAAAAAACACGTGATTATCTGTCAATGCTTAGGTGCAATTTTTCCAACGGTTGAGACAATTTTCGCTATGCAGTTCACGTGCAATAAAGTTTGTATATCTTTTGATAATATTACATTATTTTTTTTTATTCGTATATTATTCTTTAGCGATTGATGCTATGACGATATATATTCTGGTTCATCGATTCCAGTAATTTTTTTTCTCAATAAAATAGTATATAAAAGAGTTCCGTTTGAATTAAAAGCCCAAAATAATTTCTTACTCTACGCCAGCAGGTGCTGCCTCACCAGGCCGCCTCCCAATATTCTTATTTTTTCCAAGCAAGATAGAAGATAGGAAGCACAGACCACCCATCGGAATTATACACGTGAATGCTAGTTGCAATGCTTGGACATAGGCATTTATAACCTGACCCTGAACTGTTGGTGGAAGCTTGCCGATAATCTGTGGGTTTTTCTTAAGAATGTCGAAAGTGAGACTTTCTATATGTAATATGTCGATTTGATGCCGAAGTTCATTATTGAAGATTGTGCCTACAATGGCAACACCGAACACAAATCCAACTGAATAATGCAAAATGTCGACAATTAGTCAATAATACGATAACACTTGTGATTCTCGAAAACTCGCTCTCGCTTCTAAACGTTTCCATCATACACGCACAACACGATACTTACTCGTCCTAAAGAATACCAGGACCGCAGAAATAATAGCAATGTCCGAATATGGGACAGAAGCTTGTCCAATCAACAAAGTCGTCTGCATAATTAGCCCAACACCAACTCCCAGAATGAACAAATAACCAATTTGCTTTCCACGATTTGTGTCAACGTCAAATGTAGTCGTCAAACCTGCTCCCACAACGATAAGTGCACCACCAACGACACAGAAGATTTGTTTTCTTATATTCGGTGATCTTGACATGGCTTGTCCCGATACAATCGACGCAATAACAACACCAAGAATGAATGGTATCAACTCTAATCCGGCAACGGTTGCCGTATCACCGTGGATGACTTGGAAATATAAAGGAACATAATAGATGGCGCCTAAGAACGCCATGCCCTGGAACAAGTTTACCAAAATACATCCTAACAAGGTCCGGTTTCTGAACAGTCGAAGCGGAACAATGGGTTCCACGGCTACATATCCCTCGATGACCGCGAACACTATGTACAAGACACCACCGACGACGAGGAGGGAGATGATTATGGGATCATTCCAAGCGTATTGATCGCCGCCCCAGTTTAAGGGAAGTAGTAAAGCCACCGTAGCGGATACCAAGCATAGCGTACCCCACCAATCGATGCGACCAAGTTTTTTCGACAACGAGCCTCGTGGTCGGGGAAGATGTAATAGTATAATTATAACTCCGAGGGTTATCGCACCGAACGGTAAATTAATTAGGAACGACCATCTGACCAAGTTACGATTGAATTGGAGTCAGCGTTATACAAATATTAAGGAATCTTTTTCCTCTTTCATATTTCTATCGATCCATACCTCCAAGTTACGTGATCAGTAAAAGCACCACCCAATAGAGGACCAACGACTGATGCAATACCAAACACTGCTCCAATGAGCCCTTGATATTTTCCTCTTTCTTCGAGACTGACAATGTCTGCAATTATAATTATTACCAAACCTATAATACCACCACCACCAATTCCCGCAATAGCTCGGAATATTATCAGCGTCGTCTGATTTGTAGAGCAAGCGAAATTAGCGATGAGTTGAAGACGAAAAACGAACGGTCAAAATTATTTTGCCTCCTTTTATTACCATATTTGGTGCCAATCCGCATAATAGACTGCCCATTTCGAATACCAAGATAGCAAATAAAAACGTTATCTTCCTTCCAAATATGTCGGAAAGCTTGCCATATGTCGGTTGGAATGCCGTTACCGTTAAAAGATATGAGGTTGCAACCCAGGCAATTCTGTTCAATGCATCAAAATCGGTGCCTATCCTGTATAGCGAAGTTGCAATAATTGTCTGATCTAGCGCAGCGAGAAAGATTGCGAGACCAAGACTAATAGAATTGCAAAGGACGAGAGAAAGCGGGCGATTGGGAAGATCATTAGAAAAATGTCTCGCATTATGAAGCATCACTTTTCGGACATTTTGACTTGATCGCTATTTACCCGACCATAACCCCGAACAACCGCCAACGTGTCAATTGCACTACAGGTTCGCCATGTCCTTTTACTTTCTCAGGTTGGGACTCGACATCACTCGATACCTCGAGACCATCCTGTTCGCCAACTGTTGCGCCGGCATCATTTGCATCCGATTTCTTTTCTGGTGTATTAGCGGACATTATCTAATTAACAAGGGAGAATTGATAGTTAAATTTTGAATTGAGTTCGTGAATGCTTTTTCAACTGTAGTTTTTACTAACCTAATATTATGGCGGTATGCCGACAAAGTTACTAAGAAGCAGTCTCATTTATATGAACGAATCAACAATAATAAACAATAAGATTTTTTCGCGGATAAATTGGCTACCGTCATAAACGTATATTGGGGCACATTTATGCAGGTAGATTAACTTATCTGGTACAAATATTTGTGCGGAAATAATTTAACCGAATTCGACACAATACGATTTGTGGAACCAGTAGATCGGCCCCTTTTTAACCTTAACGCCCCAATCAGTAAAAATTCTCATATATGACGTCAAACGTGCACCAAATATGTGTAATATCGATATCAACACTCATGATACAAATCTCCTTGTGTTATATTATTTGTTATACTGTGTAGATCCGGCCCTTGTTTCCTCATATTCATACAAACGCCACACGTCTCTCTGGCAAAAGACGCACGGCGGTGATAAAACATCTGCAGAAGATATAAAATGATCACGCTGAGATACAATTCCTGAATTAGTTCGGGGCGTTCGAAGAAAGTACCTCAACGTTGAGAAAGTGATATCGAATAATCAACAGAACAGCATGCAATTATCAAAAGGTCTTTGTAATATACTGATATATCTACAGGACTTGTTTATAGAAAACAACCCTTTTCCACCGAGCATTTCTTGTAGAGAATTACGGTCTTATCCGGCTTCATTATTACCTCTAATTATTTCACAAGATAATCACACAATGGATACGGGATTGGATTCCTTGTAATATTTCAAGGCATAGAATCTGATGCATTACTTGTCGATTACTATTAGAGCGAATAAAATGAATTAGAATATAAAAGCTATAGAATCCAACCTCAGATATACGAAACTTTGGTTTATTAGAGTAATATAGTTTTATAGACGATATTCTAATAGAAGCACATACACACAGACATTTACTAACAATTGCAGACATATCGATAATAGACAACATCTCCGAACATGACAACAGCGCAATCACAAACACAAACCATATTTAGTACCATACAATTTATTGTTTAGTGGTTGTTTTGGGAATATACTAACAAAGTACCAGAACAATTGCATGAGATGGATATTCGTCTATTTGTTAGTTTTCTGCGCGACTTAATTTCTTTGACCATGTGGCCATTGGATGCCTGTACCACAATACGTGCAATTGACAGAATAAGAAAGCATGTTGTAATCGTAGTTGTACAACAAATAAACAATTTATTGAAGTGGTATACACAGTTAAGATGAGATACATAGAGACAAGATGTGTCCCTAAAATGTTCAATAGCCCTCGTGGTTCTTTGACATTGGTTTAATTCTCGTGGCGTCGTGATTGCTATTGCTTAAGATAAGATTATGTCTGAGTAGATACAAGTATACCCAACTTGTATGCTTCCGAATTAATTCCCATCGGAAGGTAATAGCCGATTAAAACAACTGTTTCGACAATATTTGCGAATAGCGCCGCAGTATATGCCAGTTTGATTTAAAGATTACTATATTTCGAAAAATATGGTGTTAACGAATGATTGCACTCCTGCAATTGTCAACACCGATATCAAAATGTCTTCATTCTTTACTTTATTAATTCATTACTAATTATTTTCACAATTACCCTGTTCCTCATTACATGCTTGTAATTTACGGGAAAACTTAAGCAACTACATTGTCTCGAAGATGTGTTTTTTGCAAAGATAACATTAGCCTGATCATTAGCCTCAGCAATTGTCTATCCGAGTCGGCTAGCATTTGTCCAAAACATCATAGTTAGTATAAACAAGGAGTTTTATCCTCTACTGTAATTTACTTGCTATTTCTACATATCTATTTTAAAATTAAAATTTGTGACATAATCTATAGTCAAGAGATAAGTAAGACGCCGTTGGACGCGTGCAATATCCTTAAGCGAAAGCAATTTTCTTGAAAAAATTAAAGTTTTCGAATTGCAGTCTTATTTATAACTTCAGAAAAACTATATATTGGAGTAATGAGACGAAAGTTTACTCATGAAATATCGAGTTGGACCTTAGAGTCGGAAGAAACTCCTTGTTGAAGAGTAATATTGTAGTCGAACGTTTGTATTGTTGGATTTATAATTACTTTGCAAA